TCATTATTAACATTAACAAACTGAAATCTATCAGTTAAATAAGACTCAAACCATTTTAGAGCTGTTCCTGTAATCCCAACATCAAGTTCAAGTCTATATAATAAAGAAGAAGTCATGTCTGAGTTGTCATTTCAGAGCTACATTCAGATGATYTCATCTTTCTAAAATAAAAGTTCATCCTGTGACTTTTGACTCACCCTGTACATCCAGTTATGACTTACTGAGAGTTTCCCTCAAATCTATATCATGGTTCTTGAGATATGTTGCTAACAGTGTAATAAAGTAATGTCAAAGTTTTAAAAACAGATGGGTTAGTTGTCAGAGTGATGCCCAACAACTGGCACACCACATTTAGGCTCAAACTTAGCCAAATATGAACATTTTTTGTTCTGTTACGGATTATATCCAAAAGATAATCATCTTGTTACTTTCTGAGAGTTTTACTGAAATCTGTTCAGCTATTTATGTTCAACTATTTATGTTTTTTTTTTTGTTTTATACAAACAAAACAAAAAAATCAGGTAAAACCTTACAGCATGTGGATTAAAACGTGTGCCTTATAAACAGTGTAAAAAGTAGGGCAAACATTTCTGAAGTAGTTTGGAGGTAACAAAAAAAGATAAGCCTTAATCTTTAGCTTGAGGCAGCGACGTTCAGCCACTGCACATTACTGTAGAATTACATCTTTTCAAACAGCAGCGTGCTTTTCCTCCTAAACCAATTGAACCTTTGGATGTCAGACCTGCTTACGTGTAGAAAGCAGAAGCAGGCGACAGCTCCCATAATAATCTGCTTGTTCTGAGGAGGAGAGCAAATATTGCACCTGGACCGGCTCAGTCTGAGCGCCGGCCTCTGGTTTCCTCCTCTGCCGGTGTGCCTGCAGCGCCGACACGTCAGCCCAGGAGATGTCAGCTCTGGTCCTGCTGAGTGAAAACAACAAGCTGCGAGACCTCTGCAGCCAGCACTGTTGTTATCGCTGACATTTATCACACATTCAGTATCCTGCCCTGCCCTTGTAGCAAATTAGAGCTTCCTTTTGTTTTCCAGTCTGCTTTCCTCGGCTCGCTACCCGCTTTTAACCACTTTGATAGACTTGAAGTAAACAAGTGGGTTTCCCTCTGTGTACTCTTTGCCTGTCTTTCAGCGGAGAAACGGCGCCGTGCTCAACACTTCCTCTCTGTCGTGGCTGAGCCACAAACGGCTGATGGCGACGTTTCAGGTGGAGGCYCAGCGTGGAGAGCAGGACCTGTACCGCTGCATCACCCTGTCCCCCAGAGGAGCCGCCGTCTCCAACTTTGGAGAGCTTATCGTCAGAGGTAAGACGTGTCCAGTGCACAGCAAAGGAGTTTAGTTTTAGATTTGAACTGWTCAAAAAAAGAAACAACTCAGTCTATTGTTTTTAAAAGGTTTCACCCATTTACTGACCCTACTGGAAAGTTTTGTGGGACAATATAAATGACTCAGTGAGCTTAGCCACAAAGCAAACATCTGTGGGCCACATCTGGCAATGATGGTAATGATTACATGACAYCACTGGCCCAGTTGTGGTTTGGATTATGTGGCGATGGCCCATACATGGACCACCTTTGGAAAACTGCATTTGGGCAGTAATTTGCTAGAGGGCTAGTGTTAGAGTGCTAGAGTGATAAAGTGTTAGAGTTCCACCTGTTCACCACCTATAAACAAGACACACACATAGCCACACTAGGTACAGAAAACAAGGGCACACCCAAACTGCAAAATAAATAAATAAATTAATAACACAAAGGTGCCAGTCAGTGTATAAGACACTAGTCTGGTCTAAAATGTAATAAAAAACAACAAACAGACAAACTGTGACAAGTCTAGAGGAGACAACTTTTTATGCAAGCTATATAAAAATAAATGTATGTCTACCTTAGCGGGACTTCTGACACTGAGAGGAGGTCAGTGTCTCATAGGCAGGCATTATTAGGTGGTTGAGGTGTAAGCAGGTCTCCAGATGATCATCAGTCTTTGTGGATCTGTTGTTGGACTTGATGACTTTCATGTGAGAGAAAGCTGACTCCAGAACTCTCCATTCATGCGACTTG